ACTTACTCCCTTCAATCACTTCTGCTCCATGGGGCCATCTATTAGTCACGATAGGCGCCTACCTAGACCAATTATGGTCTAAGATTCTACCTCTCTTGGATTCCATTAAAACAGAGCTTATAAATTCTCACTCTGAGACCACGACTAGCAAAGCAACACAGGATTGCTGCTAGACACGCAAAGAGCTTCAACTACTGTCACATCCTCAGTATCTATAGAAAGCTCACCTGGTTAGGATCCACTGGCTCATCAAGGATACAAAGGACAGAATTGAATGCCTGGTGACAATAGAAATTTTTTTTACACAGAATAAGAAAACAGCTAAATTATATACGGACTGACGGTCTTTTCGTCCCTCTCTCAGTTCTACCCATAGTCTTTTCAACCGTATCTGGAGTTTCAGCCTCCCAGACATTTTGGTTCATAAAAGAATGTCATCACATTTCTCAAGGTTACATTATATAATTCTCTTGGTCCTCTTTGAGTACGTTAGACTTACTCTCTTTTTTCTATATCTTCCAGGAAGAGACCTCTGCCTCCTGGACAAACATGTCATAATCCAAGTTCCTACATCTGGCTTATGCAATGGCTTCTACTTCTGTACTATTATATACATAGAAAGGACGGAGGCATCCGTCCCATCTTTGATCTCAGAAACCTTTTTACATGTATTCTAACATAAGTTTCAGATTCCACCCTCAACACTATTATCTCATCTAATCAGTAATTCCTAGTTTTCATTACCATTCGATTTTTCAACATCTGCAAGGTGTTTGACAAGGTACAGAACATTAGTTTGAAAAAATCTCCCCAAATTCATGACCTCCACGGCTTCAGTGCTACAGCAAGCCGGACTCAGCCTTGAACCACTCCAATAGTGGCATCTTTTGCTGTCCGACCAAGTGGACGATCCCTAATCCAAGTAACTACAAGTTCGGTTCTGTCACCGTTGGTAAGTACCGACCGACGATGCATTTGCTGGTCTGTACGCCAACTACAGGTTTTATTGTTCCTGTGCAGGTGCGGACAAAAACACAGTCAGAGACGTGTTCATATGACAGTGGACAGGGACTCTGCCATGACTCTTCCCTCCGATACCCTTTATTCTACGGGCAGTCTTCCATCACCATCATTCCTAATCGAACACGGTCCAAATACCTCCATAGTGACCAAGGTAATCCTAGTTTGCCTGTCTCAGATTGATATAGACAGACACGTGTGGAGGGAAGGATAGTCTACCATCCGAATCTATCCTCCATGAACTTGACAATCTGGCAAATACTCCCATGTTGACATCAGTGCTTGATCGAGCTCGAAAACCGTCAACTATGTCTATGCGTAAATAAATGAGATCTTTATTAAATATACTGCAACAAAGAACTACCTTACCAACTTTCTTTGAAACTGTTGCCTGCTTGGCCGTTCTATTTATACTTTAAAATGTTATATATCTGCTACTGTTGCCCATTAACCAGATGATTCTGGTCCAGTATAACTTTTGTCTCACTCTATGGTCCCACATCTTCTCAGAGGACTCAGTACCACCCATCCTCCATGTCAACGCTTTGTTCCTCAATGGTCTATAGATAATTCTAAATTCACTCATGTGCCCTCCATTCGAGCCCATTTTCTCTTCAAATGCACAATTACTTACTTCCTAGTACAGTGGTGCCTCGCATAACGATGTTAATTGGTTCCATTAAAAACATTGTTATGTGAAAATATCGTTAAGCGAAACACCATTTCCCATAGGAATGCATTGAAAACCGGTTAATCCGTTCCAATAGGAGCCTATTCAATACATTTCAATGGTGAAAAAAAATCACCAAAAATTCAAAAAGACTCAGAACGAAGCCAAATTACTTTAACGAAGGTTTTATTAGGTGCACTAATGATTCCAAGCATTTTAAACATTTTTTAAACATTTTAGAATATTTTTAAAATAGCGAAAACAGGGCTGT